TGGGAGAAGGTATAATTCCCGAAGCTGAGAATGGGGAAAGAATGGAAGAGGTAGCTAAGGAATATTTTGATGAACTGTTATACCGATCGTTGTTTCAAAAGTCGGGGAAATCAAGTTTCACTATGCATGATCTCATTAATGACTTGGCTGTGTTTGTGTCTAAGGGGTTTTGTTCCCGGTTGGAAGGAAGGGAATCACATGAAATAGAAAGAGTTCGCCATTTGTCATATGCTAAGGGAGAATTTGATGTTGCTCTTAAATTTGAGCCACTGAAGGGATCTAAATGTTTGCGGACCTTCTTGCATACCCCTTTAAATCTATACAAAATGGGTTATCTAAGTAAACAGGTTCTACAAGATTTGGTGCCATCACTAAGTTGTTTACGGGTGTTATCATTGTCGCTTTATGAGAATGTCAATGTATTACCCGATTCCATTGAAAATCTCATTCACTTGCGGTACTTGGATCTCTCCTATACGACAATTGAAAGGTTACCTTGTGTTCTTTGCAGTCTTTACAATTTGCAGACATTACTATTGTCATATTGTTTGTCTCTTGTTGAATTGCCTACAGATATGACAAAATTGATAAATTTACAGAAATTAATCTTGAGAGGTTGTAAGTCTCTTAATAAATTGCCTACAGACATGAGAAAATTGATTAACTTGAGGCATCTTGACTTTAGTAGAACTGAAATTAAAGAAATGCCGGTGCAAATGGGTAGACTAAAAAGTTTGAGAACATTGATTGCTTTTGTTGTGGGGAAATCTACTGGGTCGACTATTGGAGAATTGATGGAGCTATCGCATCTACGAGGAAAACTTTCAATTCTGAAGCTGCAAAATGTGGTTGATGCTAGGGATGCCTTGCAAGCCAATTTGAAGGATAAGAAAGATCTCAAAGTGTTAGAGTTGGCATTGGGTGCGGACAATGCTGATGATTCTCAAAAGGAGAAAGATGTACTTGACAATCTCCAACCTTGCATGAATTTGGAGGAACTAACCATCAGATTCTATGGTGGAACCAACTTCCCGAATTGGTTAGGAGACAAGTCCTTCTCTAACATACAATTCATGCATCTCATTGACTGTAGTAATTGTTGGTCGCTGCCACCAGTTGGGGGGCTACCTGCTCTCAAAGAGCTTCGTGTAGGAAGGATGAACTCTGTTCAGACAATTGGTGTTGAGTTTTATGGCAGCACTGGATCTTCTCTAGTTCAGCCATTTCAATCACTGGAGAAGCTGCAGTTTTATAGGATGCCAGAGTGGGAGGAATGGGTATCAAGTGGAAGTGGAGGTGCAGACTTTCCTTGTCTCCAGCAGCTGATTCTAAAGGAGTGTCCAAAACTGAGAGGAAGTTTGCCTCGTGATCTGCCTTTCTTGAAGAAGCTTAGTGTGAAAGGGTGTGGGGTTTTACTTTTACATGATCAAAGGGCCGCTAGTACTCGTAACATGGACTCCTACAAATCTCTTAAAGAACTGAAAATAGAGGATGGATGCCACACAAGTGTGTTATTATTATCAGAGACAAAGTTCATGTCCCAACTTGAGATTCGAAATTTTAATGACATACAGTGCTTGCCCAACATCAATCATCTTCAACGTTTGACTCTC